ATATTATGAAAATTGTTCACCTTTGCATAAAAAAATGTTCATCGTATATTATCAAAATGTTCATCGTATATTATGAAATTGTTCAACGTTTGTTACTAAATGTTCAATGCGTATTCGACAATTGTTCAACACATACATTTATATTTTCCAAAAATGTTCATCGTATATTAAGAAATGGTCACTGTGTATTATTTAAAATGTTCAATGGATATCACAAATGTTCAGTCTATGTTTTTCTAAAAAAATCAAAAGGTTACAATACTTATCGTATCGCGCCTCTAATTTATGACCAGAGCTCGGTAGCTGTCTTGGTTAGCGGCACTCGTTCAAGAAAGGGAGGTTGTGAGTTCGATCGAATTCTCGCTGGTTCATAACTTTTTGGTTATTATTTTACTTGCCCTGGAGCTCGTCTACCTCCTAATTGGCCAGCCCATTTTCTCTGCCTTCAGCGAAGGGTCCGCAATTTGCCGCTGGCGGGCGGCCAATAGGAGCTCCCACGTACGTACATATAGGAACGTGGGGGCAGCAGTACCTGTTCGTGCATTGGGCCTTTGCTGTCTTTGTTTTTTAACAGTGCGGTTTCTGTAGGCCTTTACGAAGTCTGTAGATTGTGTTGTGTGGGTTTTTTTGTTTTTCTTTTTTGTCTTTTATTTATTTTATTTTCTCTTAATTTTGCTATATTTATTTTCATATTTTACAAAAAAGTTTTTTTATTGTTAATGTTATTTTTTTAAAATCATTTTTCGTGTGTGTTTATTTTTTGTTTTGTGTCATTCTCAGGTGTGGGACAGGCTGTAGCCGATAGATACATGGGAACTTCAGGATATGTGCGCCGCGTGAGATTAATGCGAGTGTCTTTGGCTGCGTTGTGACAGGGAGCGGATGTTTAGTGGGTGTGACAAGCTTTTTATTTAGTTTTCATTGTGTTTGTTTGTTGGGTAGGGGCAAGTGCATGTCTGTCACTAGGAACGTAATTGCAAGTGTCGCTCTCGACTGCAACTGTGTGTCTTTTTCACGTGACCGCAATGCAATGGTGTTTTGTCAGGGGGGTAGTTGCATGTCCACCACTAGACACGTAATTGCAAGTGTTGCCCCCCAAATGCGATTGCATGTCTTCGACGCATATGTAACTTGGTGGAGTTTTGTAGGTAGAGGGGGTCAGTTGAATGTCTATCACTAGGCATGCAACTACAAGTGTCGTGTCTCGATTGTAATTGCATGTGTTCAACGCGACTGCAACTCAGTCATGTTTTGTCGGGAGAGATGTAGTTGCATGTCTGCACCTGCAAGTGTCGCCCCCAACTATAATTGCATGTCTTCAACGCAACTGCAACTCGTGGTGTTTTGTCGGGAGAGGTCATTGCACGTGTGCCACTAGGCATGCAACAGCAAGTGTTGCCCCCAATTGCAATTACGTGATGTTTTTGTCTGAGAGGAAGGGAAGTTGCATGTCTGTCACTAGGCACGCAACTGCGAGTGTCGCCCCTGACTGCGACTCTGAGGTGCTTTGTCCGTAGTGTGAGTTGCATGTCTATCATTAGGCATGCAACTGCAAGTGTCTCCCTGAATGCAACCGCATGTTTTTAATACGACCGTAATTTTGTGGTGTTTTGTCTGGAGAGGGGACAGTTGCATGTCTATCATAAGGCATGCAACTACAAGTGTTGCCTTCACTACATCTCTGAGGTATTTCGTCAGGAGTGGCAGTTGCATGTCTGCCATTAGGAATGCAACTACAAATGTCATCCCCGACTACAACTACTTGCCTTTAACATGTCTGCAATTCAATGGTGTTTTATCGAGGATGGGTTTTTACATGTCAAACAACTATGTGGTGTTTTTGTCGGGGAGGTGTGGTAGCTGCATGCGTGACGCTAGGCACAAAATAGCAAGTGTCGCCCCTGACTACAACTCTGATGTGTTTTGTCAAGAGTGGCAGTTGCATGTCTGCCACTAGAGATGCAATTGCAAATGTCGCCTCCGACTGCAACTGCATGTCTTCAACATGACTGCAACTTTGTAGTGTTTTGTCTGGAAGGCGCAATTGCATGCTGCCACTACGTATGCAACTGCAAGTGTTGCCTCTGACTGCAACTATGTGGTGTTTGTGTGTGTATGGGGGCTAGTTGCATGTTTGCCACTAGGCACGCAATTGCAAGTGTTGCCCCTGATTGCAACTGCATGTCTTCCATGCGATTGCAACTCAACTATGGTTCGTCAGGTGGAGGGAAATTGCATGTTCTCCACTACCCACACAACCGCATATGTGCACACCAACTGCAACTTGCTACTCTGACACAAGCCGGGCGCCCGCACAAGCCGCCGGCTCCCCGCGTACCTATTGCTATCAAGTCATCATGGGTTACAACGTGTGGTGCCGGTCGATATATAAGAGGACTAGGATACAACGTGTCCGACTCTTACACGACTCGTACCTATCCATACCAATTACAAGTCCAAATCCACGTAACTTCTTGTGTACATAATATTCGACACAAATATAACATGTACAACAACAAAGAAAATACGACCACAATCAGTGAGACCATTGACGATTCTTACATGCTTCTAATGTTGGGACCGAAGAAAATACCCCTTTTGTGCAAACAAGTATATCCATCCAACACAAGCACAAGTGCAGAAACCAATCAACATAATCATACACTACAGTTAATTACGTATTTACAGGCCCTCATGTTGGGAAAGAAGAAAACATACAACGTACAAGTACCTCTTAGTTATTCATTACTATTTTTATGCTACTACGGATGGTTGGACCAAACCATAAATACACAATAGTACAAGACGACATGCGTGTGAACTCAAGCTATACCATTGCAGCAGATCATCGGTAACATAAAAATAATAAAGCTAGAACTATTACAAATGATGTCCATATGTCTCATGGTGTACATTTGTTTTCCTGATTTGAGTGATCGTTCAGGATTTCTTTCTAAGGGGGAGCACCCATATAACTACAATTGCAACTGCAAACCCAACACCAAGTCCCAATCCAACAAAAAGGAACAACATAACATCTGCAGATTTCTCCTCCGAATTATGAAGCGCCGAATTTGGTGGTGTCTCATTGCTGCACTGTTTTAATAGTGGAGGCCCACATAACCCAGTGTTACCCATAAATGAGCTATTATCGAATGTCGAGAAATGAGGCGATTGTGGTATCCTTCCCTCCAGCATGTTGTTGGATAGGTTCAATGTTGTGAGGAAGTCGAGAGAGGATATCTCCTGCGGAATCTCCCCTGAAATACCATTTGATGAGATATCCAAAGACTCCAGCTGGTGCAAATAGACGAACTGAGATGGAATCGGCCCCGTGAAGGAGTTGTGCGACATGTTGAGCACTTGCAGCAAAACAAGTTCTCCAATAGCTCCAGGGATGCTACCATGGATTGCATTGTTTGAGACATCAATGAATACAAGGGTTCTTAGTATTTTGGTAAAGGAGACGGCATACCCTTTGTATGTGAGCACAATGTTGACCTGGTATACTTGGTTTTGATAGCTGTTATACTCCATGACTAACGTTTCATTCACAACTTCAACCATCATGGACTTCAATCTAATAAACCATCCTTCTGTCAATGTCCCTGATAAGTTGTTGGAGGCCAGATCCAGGATCCGCAGCCTTGGAAACTCACAAGTGCTTTTCTCATCATCAATAGAAGGTGACACTTGTCCAAATAACTTATTGGACTTTAGGATGAGGACTTCAAGTCTGGGAAGTGCAGTCATCCAACATGGAAAAGAGTCACTAATTTGATTGTCTCCAATATCGAGGACCTCCAGGTACTTGCAAGAAGCTAGAGATCTAGGCAACTGTCCTTCAATCTGGTTGCCACTCAAGTCTAGTGCCTCAAACTTGCAACTTTCATTGATATTATGTGGCAGCTGTCCAGAAAGTTGGTTTTCTTTCAGATTAAGAACTTGCAGTGCATTGTTATCCTCCATTAGGCATGAAGGAATTGAGCCACTGAGGTTGTTGTAAGACAGATCAAGAATTGTCAGTACTGTGCTACAAAAAGATGGTGGAATATTCCCTGAGAGGTTGTTGCTTGATGCCTTGAAATAGGAAGTATCTTCAAGTTGAGTAGAAATATTAGGAGGCATGGAAGAGAAAAAGTTGCTTGAGTAATCAAGCATCTCCCCGGAGTATTGGGGTAAAGGTATTATCCCCTCAAACAAGTTAAAACTGAGGTCCAACATTTCTATATGAAAAGGAAGGAAGGTTTCGTACCCAACACTTTTAAATTCATTGTGTGATAAGTTCAGAAACAAAGGGCCATGGTCTGTCCATTTCTGCCATGCCCACTGGGGTATGGCACCATGAATTTGGTTACTCGAAAGATCAACTACTTTTATTTTATCTGTATGTCCCAGAATGTTAGGGAAATTATTTATGTTACATGATGCCAAACCTAGATATGCAATGTTTGGGAAGGATATCAATGAAGAATTATGTTCTCCTTCTATTACACTTAATTTATTGTTTGAGAGATTCAAATCATATAGGTTTTGTAGTTTCCATAACGAGTTCAATTGCACAGTGCCTACGAGATTATTCGAAGCAAGTACTAGGGTATCTAGCAGAGTTAAGTTCAAGATACCCGAAGGTATTTTCCCAGAAAAATTGCACTTATAAAGTGCTAATTTCCTCAATTTGTGCAAATCACCAATGGAAGAAGGTATTGGTCCATTGAAGCCACAACAAGAAACTACTAGAACCTCTAGGGATGTTAGGTTTGTGATCCATGATGATATCGATCCTACTAGTCCCAACCCAGAGATCTGCAATGAATTCAAGGATGTGAGCCTACCGATTGATGAGGGTAGCTCTCCAGTAAAACCAAGTGCATCAAGGCCTAGCTTCTTCAAATGTTTGAGATTACTAATAGAATTTGGTACTGTACCAGAGAAATTGGTGTCGCCGACAAACAAGTTCTCCAGCTGATTACTATCAGTTGAGAAATTCGGTAGATTACCTAATATGTTAGGATTGTGGTGAAGATCAATAGTCACTAGTTTCTTGTGTTGAAAGATCACAGGAGGGACTCGTCCTTCAAGGTTATTATAACTAAGTTGGAGAACATTCAAGGAGGAGAAGTTGGCAAAGAACACTGGAATTGAACCGGTCAACCTGTTGTACTGCAGATCGACCATGGAGAGTGATTGCAAACCAACGAGAGATCCACAAATGGGACTCGAGAGGCTACAAAAGGGCAAGCTAAGAACACGAAGATTTGGAGTGTAATTGGCTAGAGCACTGCACCACTTTTCTCCTTGCCCGGACATATCCACCCAACCAAGATGGAGCTCCCTCAAACTTGTAAGGTTTGCAACTAAGGCTGTTAAGTTAGGCAGTATGAGCTGATCGAAATAGACTCGAATCATATGGGTATGATCGTACCACTCAGTAATTTCATAGTAGGAGGAGAGGTCGAGACAAACCAAATTCGTGAGGCAGCCTATACTATAGGCTGGCACTTGTCCTGCAAATTTGGAGTTGGAGAGGTTGAGATGGGTGAGCCTGGTGAGCTGCTCAAACCCGGTGGATGGGATTTCGGAAAGACTGAAGTCGTTTCCACCCAGGTTGAGATACCTGAGGGAGTTCAGCTCGAAGAGCACATGATCGAGATGATCACTCTCCAAGCCGCGATCACGCAAATCAAGGGAAGTGACATGGCCGCTGGTGGCACCGCAGCGGATGCCCTCCCAACGGCAGCAGTCTGTGCCAACCTTCCATGAGTGGAAGGCCGCGACGGACTCGTCGGTGGTGGTGAAGGAACGTTTCAGCCGGAGCAGCGCGGAAGCCTGGCCTAGCAAGCATCGAACGGGTAGTATGGTGGTGTGGTTGGTGAACGTACCATGAGCCCAAGGGGGGTGTGAGCTTGCTGCCACGAGCTGAATTTGTAGGAGCAACAACAACAGTACTAATGGCATGGGATGTGGCATAGTGGAGAACATATGTGTAAGGGCGACTCTGTTTGGTTGGGTGGCTCAAGACTGAAAGAAAAGAGCTTGATAGATTTCTACCCTCTGCCTCACTTCCATTTATATACACGGTGGCTGAGCAGCCTCAGGCAGTCTTGCCTTCTATCTTTTGTGCAGTACCGTAACGATAACACACACACAGGTGGCAGCCAAGCCATCCACGAGGTTTTCTCTTGCACTTGAATACTGCCTGGACGTGTTCTTATCTTGTGCCATATATCTTGGGCAACCGGGTTTTCGTTACTAACTAGTGACTGGACGTATGCAGCCAATTACCATATCACCATCCTCCGATCAGTCAAGCTTGTCCTCGCCACAACAATTCCACGGAATGTTCAAAGCACAGCGACATCGGCCAATCAGGAGCCTCCTATCACTCTCCTTCAGCGGAGATAAATGACTTCCAGCACAACAACAAGCACTTGTTACCTTTGATTTTTCTTGTTGGATATTTGGATACAAGAAATACAGTTATAAATTATGTTTAACAAAAAGGAAGAATGTAACTAGCGCCCTGTAGAAAAAACTATTCCAATGTTTCCGGCACTCCCCTAGTTTTTTTCTGATAAAATAAACAACTGATCATGCTGCGTAAACATCAAATCTACGGTATATGTCCGACCCGACACATTTGTTTACTTTTGCAATTCAATGGAGACTTGTATCGGTATGCGAAGTGGTCCGGACGTCCGTTTTCCGGGAAATTGGAGACAAAAGTAGGAGAGATATACCGGGGCCCGGACATCCACTTGACCAACTAAAAGCCTCCGTGCAATCCTCCTCTCTTTTCTCTCTCTTCACATGCATGGTCCCCTCTTCTCTCTCTCCTCCCAACCAGAAACCACACCACAAATAGCCACCACATGCATGGTCCTCACCTACTTTTTCTCCTCCCAGCCGGATACTTTGTAATTAGCATGGATGGATCCCTCCCGTATCATGCCCATGGACCACATCCGGACACAAAAACGGACATATAATGGAGGAATTTGCGGGTCGGTGTTGGAGACGCCAGTAATTACTCCAAGAAGATGAACTGGCATATGATATCATCAGACCAAACAAAATGTAGGGTGCTTTGCACCCCTTTATCTACACAGTGCCGATGGCTGGTTGAGAAGGCATATGTAGTGCCATGTGCATCGTTATCACGGGGCCATGCAGCTCAGCCAATTACCGGATAACCATTCTTGGTCAGTCAACCTTCTACTCACCACAATATTAGCTTTTACTCCCTCCGTCCCATAATATAAGAACGTTTTTGACACTACACTAATGTAAAAAACGTTCTTATATTACGGGACGGAGGGAGTATTTTTTTTTGTTAGAAGGACCATGCACAACGAAGTGTCTTGCGCACAACGAAATGTTCAAAACACAACTGTCTCGCCTCACCACAAAATATTGTGGAAATGTTCCAAGCAGAGCAACATCGGTCCAAATCACTCTCCTTAATTGGTGATAGTGATTTATGGCCCCACGACAAGCACCTGCTATTACTTCTGATTTTTGTTTTGGAATTTTGAAATGAAGGAATAAATAAAGTATGTTTAATAAACATACAAATAAGTGGATGTACTCCGAACGCTCAATAAAAATAAGTGAACATACTCCCATTGCTTCAGGCCTCCCCATGCAGTCTAAAACTACTGGTTCAGTGGTCCTGTCCTTTAAACATCTTAGGGCAGCTCTAGCTGATTTCCTAAATTTTAAAATAGTAAACGGCTGAGTAAACTTTAGAGGAGCAGATTTGCTCCTCTAAAAAAATGATCGTTTCCAGCCGATACTCTAAACTAAGTGGAGTAAAAAATGCGAAGTAAAAATTTATTTGGCTTGTGCAATTCGTCAAACACTTGTTACGCGTCTCGGTACAAGCGGCGACATTGATGACTACGTCGGGAGGAGCAGCACCAGCGGGAAGGACGCATCATTGATGACCTCAGGACATATCATCACTTAAACTTAGGATGAAACAGAGTAAATAAAGCACCCCAATTCATCATGGTTTGGAGCATGACAGGGGAGCGAACACTGACGATCAGCCCTGAGCACGCTGCAGTACGTGATCACCTGGGCAGCCGTGCAGTAAAATATTTTAGGCCTTGTACAATGCAGGGTGCCTGCACAGGGTGCTAGGTGAATTGTGTCTCAAAAATTTCTTTGCCTCCCAACGCATAGTGCTTCGTATGGGTTCCTTGGCTGCTTTGACATTCGCGCAGCACCTGCACCCATTGTCTCCAATGCAGAGGTGCTCTACTGCTGACATGGAGGTGTTGTCTTATTTTTATTTTCTACCGACAGAGGCTTTCTAGTGAAGCACACGTGATTTGAAGTGGGGCGGTTATTACTCTATGCACCGCCTGGCATCAAAAGCAAAAGTTTGCTTCTGCCTCCTTTCGTAAGCATCGGTGCAATCTAACCTTGAGGACAAAAACCCAGGTTTTTTATGGCACCTGTGTAAGTACCGATTCGGTTTACACGGCCTAACATGAATAAGTGATCAGCTAGATGAGGTTTAGCGAACCAAAACTGAAATTCTACTACTCTAAAGCTTTTCAAGAGATCATCTAGAGATGCCCTTAGTTACTTCTGAGACACCACACAATATCACTCTCAGTAATTATTCAATATTGCAAAGACAAACATGCATGCCGGACCTGCTTTAAACTTTTCTCGCCGACCGACAATAGTGAACTATTATCTGCACAAACCATATTCATGATCGGTCGGTGATAAAAAATGATGGCTATTTACAAAAATCCTAAAAATTACAAACTAATGAAACACATGGACATGTTACATACAGGAAAGAAAGAGCCTAAACACGAAATGAAAAACACCAAAAAACTGAAAAGTGAAAAGAAAAAGTGGAAACAAAAAGAAATGAAAGGAGCGGAGAAAAAATACAGAAGAAGATAAGTCATCGGTGTCATTTGCTCTTACACCTGCAAGTCTTGCATATTGATTGTACTTGTCATAACCATGGGCCAAAGCACCTTGGCCAATCGGATTGCTCCGATCAACATCCTCCGGTCAGTCAACCTTGTCTCCTCACCGCAAGAACAATACAGAATGTTCAAAACACAGTGACATCCGTCCAGATCACGCTGCTTAATTGGAGCTAATAATTTATGGCCCCACGACATGCACCTGTCAATTATTACCTTGGATTTTTGTTTCGGAAATTCGAAAGGAAGAAATACAGTATAAATTATGATCGATAGAAGGGAAAATAAGATAACAAAAATAATTATCTCATTGCTTCCGGCCTCCCCCTTGTTGTCAAAACTCAAAACTACCGGTCCTGTCATGTAAACATCTGTAGTTACTTCCGAGAGATCGAGCAATATCACTCTAATTACAGTTGGATGGTGTACAGTCGAGGGATATTAATCTTTTTTTCCGGGGAAACGAGGTTGATGTCTTGCCTCTTGGGTCAAGAATGGTGTCACGTACCTATACCTGAAGGCTAGTGGAAAGGGAGATGTCGATGATGCCGATGGTGACGGTGTTGACGCTGCAGTGCAGCGGTGGTATACTCAGGCGCCACCCAAATGCCCAATGGAAGTGCCAACCCGACAGCTTGGGCTGGGTCTGCCTGGGGCTACTAACTGGAAGGCCTCCATTTTCCTGACAATCAATTTTTTTGCCTCTCTGTATTGACAATAAGACGTACACTGTCAGTCATTTGTCAAGTAAGAAATTATAGTGTTTTAAATTTACCAAGTATTTATAATTTCATCCTCAAAAACAAGTATTCATAATTTTTTGTTAAATGATTTTTTTTGCATGCGAATGAAGCTTTTTTAATTATTAAGAATGGAGCTGCAATAAATCAGTCAACTAAGACTTCACGAAGTCTCAGTCGATTTGCTAGCCATAGGATTTGAAGTGTTAATATTTGTGCGTTGATTTTTTTTCTTCACTCGGAAGATGCGTACATACGTAGGCAAATCCTATATGACGCGCCTGTGCGTCCAGGAGCCGCGGCTTCGCTGAAGCGACTCCCCACTTGGGCCGGCCCATGAAACGGATTCCTGTGCTATTTTCCTTCGCTGTTTGTTTCCTTCGATGCTTCTGCATTTTTTCGTTTCCTTTTTCTTAAGCGGTTTCTTACTTCTAGTTTTTCACTGTTTTGTCCGATTTTCTGTTGTTTTGTTCCGTTTTTTTATTTTTCTGTTTTGGTTCTTTTTTTACGTTATTTTTTTATTTTTCTGTTTCTGTTTTCTTCTCATTATTTGCATATTATATAAAATGTTCACAGGTATTACAAAAATGTTCATTGTATTAAGAAAAATGTTCACTTTATATTATGAAAATTGTTCACCTTTGCATATAAAAATGTTCATCGTATATTATCAAAATGTTCATCGTATATTATGAAATTGTTCAACGTTTGTTACTAAATGTTCAATGCGTATTCGACAATTGTTCAACACATGCATTTATATTTTCCAAAAATGTTCATCGTATATTAAGAAATGGTCACTGTGTATTATTTAAAATGTTCAATGGATATCACAAATGTTCAGTCTATGTTTTTCTAAAAAAATCAAAAGATTACAATACTTATCGTATCGCGCCTCTAATTTATGACCAGAGCTCGGTAGCTGTCTTGGTTAGCGGCACTCGTTCACGAAAGGGAGGTTGTGAGTTCGATTGAATTCTCGCTGGTTCATAACTTTTTGGTTATTATTTTACTTGCCCTGGAGCTCGTCTACCTCCTAATTGGCCAGCCCATTTTCTCTGCCTTCAGCGAAGGGTCCGCAATTTGCCGCTGGCGGGCGGCCAATAGGAGCTCCCACGTACGTACGTATAGGAACGTGGGGGCAGCAGTACCTGTTCGTGCATTGGGCCTTTGCTGTCTTTGTTTTTTAACAGTGTGGTTTCTGTAGGCCTTTACGAAGTCTGTAGATTGTGTTGTGTCGGTTTTTTCTTTTTCTTTTTTGTCTTTTTATTTATTTTATTTTCTC